CATTTCTATTTCTGAATGCTGCCTTCTGTTACTGGTGGAGCCAAGGATTTCTCTAGGGTGTCATCTTATTACCCTCAGGTATCTGGCAGTGAAAGAGGAACTGCAGTAGGAAATTTGCATTCAACTCTGAGTTGGTCAATGTACTGTCAATAATTAAGTCCCCTCAATACAGGGAAGCTCATGATCTCGAGGCCTGAAGTAACAGAATTGAAATGCATTTAATATATTCAAATACAGCATTTACTTTTTTTGTGTGTCAACAATCTACTTATGATAACCTGCAATAATTGCATTCACTGAGTTCAACAGTGACAAGTCTTCCTCTGGGACACTTTGTCCAGTTTTGGCCATCAAACATACAGAAAGAGTTGAAGCAGCCAAAACTAAGTAGATAAACAAGAATGAGGAGAGATTTAACATACATGCCAGTGAAGAAAAAGTTAGAGATTATTAAGCAAGAGAAGTTCAAGAGGTCAGACATAACAGTCCTGAAAGATGGAACAGTCTGCCTGCTTTAGAGGAAAGCAGTAAGCTGTTTTCATTGCCTTCTGCTGGTGGGATAGGAAATAATGGAGCAGCCCTAGCTTTCAATGGGTAGATTTTATTTAAGCTTAATGAAAACTTTTTTTAATGAAAATGATAACCAATAGATTGCTAAAGACACAGCAGTGTAGTCATCTCTAGACATTTTTATTGCATAAACACATTTGGTAATACTTTTGGCACAGCTATTTACTGAGAAAAGCAATGGGCTGGTTTACAGCTCTCTCCTGTTGTACCTATGTATGGGACTGTTCTCACTAATGAAAGGAACTAATGGTGCTACTGGGACTCTCAGTTGTACCCAGGTAAAGTAGTTGGTTAGTAAGCCTTCTCATTTTTCAAGCAACAAATATTTAGGACTGCCACAGGGTAATGGGCAGAAACTGAAACATGGGAAGTTCCATACAAACACCTGGAAGAGCTTATTTACTTAGATAGTGATGGAGCACTGGAACAGGCTGCCCAGAGTGGTGCTGGAGTCTCCTCTGGAGCGGTTCAAGACTTTCCTGGATACTTTCCCGTGTGACCTGATGTAGGGAACTGTTTTAGCATGGGGGTTGATCTCCAGAGGTCCCTTCCAACCCATACAATTCTGTCATTCTGTGATTCTGTGAAGACTTATCAGAAAGATGTTGTGATCACCAGCTCCACAGGGCAGTGGGAGAAGTGGGGAAGCAGCATGGTGTGCAGGGCAGTTGGCTATTTTCACCAGGTGAAAGCTTCATGATGGAGACGTGGAGAAAACTCAAGGGCTGTAAGCATCCAGACTGCAAAAGGGAGGAGGAATTGACTGAGATATTTAGTTTAAGTTCTCAATTCTGCTCTGCATTGTAGTACTATGGTAGCGGTAGACATGTCCCTGTAAGGACTGGAGCTACCAGCTGGAGTTGCCTACATTGCCCTTCCTCCAGCTCAGCAGGAAGGGAGAGCTGTGCATCATGCCTCACTCTCAGAAATCCTGCTGTACCTGCTAAAGGTGCTCTGAGCACTAGAGACTGGAAATGGAGACAATATCCTCCAAGCATTTATTGTCTGCTGGCACTGGTCTTCTACTGTTGTGTAGGCACCTGCTTCTGGTGGTGTCAGTTGCAGGTCTCCGTGATGACGCAGGAAGGCCATTTAAATATTTCGCTAATGAGCTTTCTTGGCTGTAAGACCCAGGATTATGTGGACTCTCCTACTATACCAGGTCCAGGTTATTCTGCTCATCTACTCTACTCTCATGAGACCCCACCTGGAGTACTGCATTCAGTTCTGGGGCCTTCAGCACAAGAAGGACATGGTGCTGTTGGAACAGATTCAGAGGAGAGCCACAAAGATGACCAGAGAGCTGGAGCACGTCTGTTATAGGGACAGGCTGAGGGAGCTGGTGTTCTTCAGCCTAGAAAAGAGAAGACTCTGGAGGGACCTGAAAGAAGCAGACAAATCCATTATGTGCATCTGGCCTTATTAGATTTGCAGATAAGTGATAACATCATGCATCAGGTGATTTGTTCTCATATACAGATGTGAAACCACTTAAGACAAGAGCTCAGTTGCATCCAGGCCCTCCTGAAACGATGGCTCCACAGCCACCTGTGTGCTCAGCACCTCATTGCCTAGCACTAGTGAGGGTAGTGCCTAGAAGTGCAGACAGCAGCTCTGCCCTCCAGTCCTTCACAGCAGTTGCAGCAGCAGGAGGAGAATTTCCAAAGAGGCCCATTAGAAATGAAAGCCCAGTTACTGAATGACAGAGCAGTGATTGAAATCTTGAGCCTTCACCCAGGTGAAATTTAACAGAGCGTTCCTCCCCTCTGGCCTCCAAGTTGTGCAGTCATTGCCACAGCAGAGAGGACATCTGGTGGACCTGGCAAGGCTCCACATCCATTTCACACTGCAGGAACGCTCACAATATCCCCAAGTGCGGGATAAAGGTGAACAAGTTACCAGACCTTCCTTTCATGCATGGAGGTAAAGTTCCTTATTTCCCAAATAATTTTTCTTGTTTGTAACCAAAAACATGAACTCCAAGTTGCAGGATTCAATACTGGGAAAATGATAGTTGCAGGCAGTTGACTAGTTCTGGGATATAATGCCTTGTGTGGCACCCTCTGCTCAGACCTCTGCGGGCTCACTCAGTGCATAAATCTGAGGGAGGTGAGCTCCATTTAAAAGTGAAGCTTTGATTTCAGTGTTCTTGAAGATACGGCATGCAGGTAAGGTATAATTTAAAGGAAATTGTTGGAGGTACATTAGAAGTAATTAAGGGAGATAGTGTCCTACTAAGGTGGATATTTTGCAGCCAATATAGGATGAGTATTGTGAAATCTTTGAGATTCTCACAGTTCATCGGATCTGTGTTTCTGTTTATCCTAGGGATACTTTTAGAAATCTTCTTGCATCTTCTTTTGTGTTTTTACAACACCATTGTGTGCTTTGCCAGGAACTGATAAAACTATCCAATGCGTAGCAGTGGTGTTCAATATTCACAAGGCTTTTACAAAGATGTCACACTTATCTCACTTTCCACTGAAGCTTTCCTCAGACAGTTAGATTAATACTCTATGAATCACTCTATGTTTTGACAGCAGAGATAACTACAGTGCAGCTGTACATACGAATGTAGTTCTCTAAGTGAGATCTTGCACCTACTTTTTAGAGGGTTGAACTAAACAAGTGGCTTTATTGCAGACACTGTTATAAATCCTACAAGTTCGTGTAGGATCCTCCACTCTCTTTTTCCCCCAGAAAACAGACTGGATGTGGGTATAAATATTAATGAAGGAATATGAAGGAAATATAACTTGATACTGCTATATTACACAAAAAGTTCATGAACATTACACGTGTACATATTTAGAAATAATTTGCTTTAAAATAAGGAGAAAAAATAAAGTTACATACACAAGTACATAGAATCATTAAGATTGGAAAAGACCTCTAAGATCCCCCAGTCCAGCCATCAGCCCACCCCCCCCACGCCCACTGCCCACGTCCCTCAGTGTCACATCCACACGGCTCCTGAACACCTCAGGGACGGTGACTGCACCACCTCCCTGGGCAGCCTGTGCCACTGCAGCACTGCTCGTGCTGAACAGAAATTGTTCCTAATATCCAACTTGAACTTCCCCTGAATAGCTTAATATGCATCTTATAAACACTACAAAAAGACAGTTTTAGAGTAGCGTGCAGATTATTTTTTCTAGCTTACTCAGAGTTGCATTTTATGAAGTGAAGAATTTGATTCTGAATTTTCAAGTAGTAATAGTCTAAGGAATTTACTAGAGAATTACAGATCACATCATAAACTTTCTACAAAATATTTAAAATAGTCAATCACACTTGAGAGCAAAATGTTGTTCTCATTAAACACCACAAATTGAATTGTGTCATCAGTAAAGTCAAAGGCAAAATGCTATTAATTTCCATGGGCCTGGGGTTACAAGATTCTATTAAAAATATTATCACTATTGATTAATTTGGGTCATTTATTAAATTAATTTGTATGGAACTACATTTATTTTTCTGTAGATTTAATTTCATTACATTGTTTTTTATCATGGGTACATGATCTTGTTATTAAAAATATTGTTGAGCTTGTTCTGGTGTCAACTTTGAGAAAATATTATCACTTTTTATGCTCTTTTGCCTATAAACCATGCTGGTACAAGTGGATCTCAGCAAAAATATGGGTTGACTAACCAAAAGATCATTTTTTAAAGGCATATATTTCATAGCATCCTGTGGCAGCTAGCCAACACAGTGCTTGTGACCTGTGCAATATTGCAAAATGTTGTGAGTTACATGGAGTTTGCAAGGGAAAACTGTCACTTCTAAAGAGAAGGATGTGAATGAGTTCAACCTTTGTGGATTACAAAAGAAATAGTAACTTTCACCAAAATGATGGTATTTAGAATGAATATAGGGCTATATTCGTTCTCTGAAATAAGGGGTATTTTTCATGGATTTCAGCTTACCTTCCTCTGATAAATAAATTCCTCATGAAACTCTCCATCAAACCCACAGTAAATCAATCTGTTAGCGAACACTTTTCTTTTAAACCATTGTTATCTTGTCCTTATTCACTGTTATCCCATCTTTCCCAGGAAAGAAAAAAAGTGGAATTATCTGCTCAGCTCCCCTTTTCTTTGCATTAGGGCAGTATTTCATATCACCATGGAACTTTCATTTTTATTTTACACATAAAATGCAACCCAAAGCAAAACCACACAATCCCAAAGCTATTCCAAATGAATATGAGATAGCATTAAACAGTCACCTTCCCATGTGGTACAACTGTCCCATGCCGGAGCATTACCCCAGCAGAGACCACTGGGGGTTTCTCCAAAATGCATCGACCACAGCAGCATTTACAGAACAGGAGGCAAAGGCAGCTTTCATTGAAATCCATCCAGATACATTGAATGCTTAAAAAAACGTTCAAAGAAAAGTAATAACAAGGAAAAGTCTGGAGGCATCTAGACGTACTGACTCTTAGAGTAGGCACTTTCGGTGGTCCCATGCAAGTGTTGGTTGAGCGGCAGGTGGTGAGGAGGCACAGAGTAGTTGTAGCTCCCAGTTTTCTCACAACAGCGACAGAAGCAGCAGAATATGGCTCCAGCAGCCAACAGGCAGAAAGCAGCCACCCAGCCTAGGTAGAGGGCCTCACCAAGCTCCCTCTTCTGTGCCACATTGACCACGGGGTTGTAGAAATCCTTGATGATGGTATTGGCAACCCAGCAGATTGGAACAAGCACAGTGGTACCCGAGAGGATGAAGAGGAGCCCAGCTGCCAAGAGGATATAGCCTTTGGTCGGCCAGCCGCTCTGCCGGCACCGCGTACACTTCATTCCAAGAGTGGCAACCAGAAAAGCCAGGAAGGAGAGCACTGACCCAGCACACATCAGTCCCCTGGATGCCTGCAGGTCTGGCGAGAGGGCCAGCACGGAGTCGTAGACCTTGCACTGCATCCTGATGTTGGCTTGCCTGATGCAGTGCATCCACAGGCCTTCCCAAATGGTTTCAAACACGATGATGTTATTCTCGATGAAGGCAGACACCCTCCACTGAGGCATGCCCGTGACTGCAAATGTCCCAATCATGCCGAGGCCACCGAGGAGCAGCCCGGCAATCTGCAACGCACCACTGATCATGTTGTCTTTGCAAGGTGTGCACCTCTCAGCAGGTTTCCTGAGATGAAAAAAATAAAATAAAATGAAATAGAAACTGTCCAAAAGTAGCTGTCCTTTGTGTGAAGAAAGTTCCAGAGTCAGGCTGTACAGCCTTAAATCAGCTCGAATCCGGCACGCACTATGAGGGACTTGGCTGCACCTTCATCGTCTTTATAATTCCCCTGCCACCACTGACTCAAAGAGGCAAACCGAGCAATCAAGTGGAACAGCTTTCCTAAGCAAGAGTCAGGATGGGGTGCGTGTAAACCAGCAGGAGCCACTTAGGATAAATGCACCTTCTGGGATAGGTACATTTGCATTGAAGTTGCTTATTTGTAAATTAAAAAAAAAAAAAAAAGAACACTACTCTTAACTCTAGATGTTGTCTGCAAGTTTGTCAGAGCCAAGGAAATGGACTCTGCAGGCAGAGGCTGTGTGTGCTGGTGCACTCAGTGAAGTCGTTGCCCTGAAAGTGCAGTAATCTGCTTCTGACCCCAGCTCAGCTCAGGTTCCCGCAGCAGCAGTGGCAGTGGGCCAGGAAGAAAGTGGAGCTGCCTGCCCCACCACTGGGCCCCCGCCTGCAAAGTGCTCTTGTTCAGAAGCCTGGAGAGCACTGCGGCAAAAGCATCAGGGAACAAAGCAAATCAAAGGGACAAAGGGACTCTGAGACTGAAAAAGATACCTCCTCAGAGGATAGTCAGAGCTTCAAAACACCACTGAAGAGTCAGAAAGGAAAAATAAGAGACCTCAGACCTGCTAATACCTGTATACACAAATAGCTTTATACGTATTTATTGATCTACAGAGTATATGGGGATAGGCAAATTTCTGGAGATATCCACATCCTTCAATAATTGCACAGAGTTGTGATTTAAGCAATGCAGCAAACTGTTTTCCAGTGTAAAAGTGAGCCCAGCATTTATCACAGAACCACAGAATCATCAGGTCTGGAAAAGACCTCTAAGATCACCCAGTCCAACCATCAGCCCACCCTCACCATGCCCACGTCCCTCAGTGCCACATCCACACAGCTCCTGAACACCCCCAGGGACGGTGACTGCACCACCTCCCTGGGCAGCCTGTGCCACTGCAGCACTGCTCTTGCTGAGGAGAAATTCTTCCTAATATCCAAACGGAATTACCCCTTGATGGAGTTGGGTGCATTGAAAATTACTGGCTCTCCAGGTAAAAAGCCATTAGCAATACCAGCATGCATGCAAACACTTCAGAAAAACATCATTAAAATAATAGTATAAATTAAGTATAATTATGGATAGCAGGTGAGCTGTTCATCCAAGATTTCTTGGGTGACCTATGGACAATCCTGGGAAATTCAGGTGAAGGACTTCGTGAAAGTCAAAGCAAATGAAACTGCAGACAAAAAATCTAGAAAATAATCAGACACAACAGTGGATTCTTTCTTTCAAATTCATGCAGCTATGAATGTATGCATGAAATATTCAGCCTGAATGTGCCTTATCACAAAAAAAAAAAAAAAAATTAAAAAAATAGGCATAAACTAGGATTTTTTGTTATAACTAGTACTCCATATGTTAAGACAGAACTAATTTGTTATGCTGTAAAAGATCATTGTAGGATGCAATTAGCTACATATTAAAATACTAATTTGCTATTATTTGAACTTTCTTCCTTCTATTTCTTTTCTTGCCATTTTTATATTTTCAAAAAGCAGAATTTCCTAAAAAATAAAAAAAATAAAAAATAAAAATAAAAAAAAACAAACAGTGCCATGCAAAATATGCTAGCTTTTTGATAGGGGAAAGAAAAAAGTCTCACTTACAAGTAATATTTTATACTTCCTGGGTGTGTTTCTATATGTCTGCATAAAAGTATGGTTTAGAAGTACTCTACAAATCTTTCCGTATACATTTTGGATGCCACAGCCACCTGCCTTCCCAATCTCTGCAGCAGGCTGCTGCTTACAGAGACATGCTGGAAGGATGAAGGTAGGCATCCTCTCCTTCTCCTTCTGATCCCTTGAGCCCAGATTTGTGGCCAGCTGATTTTCCATTATATTCTTTTGGCTAAGTTCATCTCTGAAATCAAACTTGCTGATTCCGTTTCTCTCCTAACACTTGCTCTGAACAATGCAGTTTGTCCCATAGCAGCTCCAAAAGCATTTTCGTTGGTGAGAAGGAATAAAGTTGTCTGCTTTTTGGGTTTGCTCCTCCTGATGTGTGTGGGAGTCTGGATCTGTGTAAGCAAATCACTTGATGCTCTGAGTACTGTAAACTAGTCCTGTCATACAGACCCTTAAGTGATGAGAGTCTAGGTGTGGAACTTTAAGAAAACTGGGTGGAGAGAAGTTCATGGACAATCTGAGCCATAGAATCAAGGAATCATTCAGTTTCAAAGGAGACTTTGGGTGTCATCAAGTCCAACTCATGCCATGCCCTTCAAAGTCATGAGGACGAGAACCCAGCCAAGATCCATTTTAGTCATTAAGAAGTCCCAATGGTTTCCTGGGGGAAGAAAGTGGTTAAATCCAGTTCTCCCAAAGGTGAAACTAGAAGGATTTTCAGGAGGCTATAAATGTATAATATTTTGACACTGCTTAAATGGATCTGGCATATTAAATGTATAATAATGTAGAAATCATTGCATGTCTTGGCATCCCCATGGCTGCCATTCAAACAGCAAAGAAAATTCTAAAAGCCTGTAGCAGAGCAAATAAACAAACGTTTTAATAACATAGCAGTAAGAAAACACAAATGTGAGAGAAGCAGCAGCATTGATTGTTCTTAAAGACTACTGAAGTTCTAATTTACAGGACATGGAATATAATTAGCTGAGCAAATATAATTTAACCACATTATTGATTAATTTACAAAACCATTAAAGCTCCCATATAAATTCATGACAAGATTGTGTCCGTGCCAAGGATTCAGTATTTGCACACTTAGGATTAAATTTTAGTGCCTTATCTTGCTTAAAACCATTTCCAAAAGGAAATTAGAGGAAATCTTACTGAGCATTATGGATTGAATCTGCTTGTTTACAATAATAGCACAGAAAGGACAGGCAAGTCAAGTATGTCACTGGTTTTGCTTGTATTCAAACATGACATTTCAGTACAGAGAAATAACATAAATATCTATTAACAATACTTCACTGCTGGCCACAGGATTCAATCCACTTTGTTATAAAACAAATATGCATACACATCATTTAACTGTTTTCTTTGGGTCTTTTCATTTTCCTTTCTCTCTCCATTTCCTCTCCTCTCTTCTCCTCCCCTCTCCTCTCTTCTCCTCCCCTCTCCTCTCCTCTCCTCTCCTCTCCTCTCCTCTCCTCTCCTCTCCTCTCCTCTCC